GGAGGCCGGCTCGCAGCTCCACTCTTCCAGGGTCTCAAACACAAGATCCGGGCGCACGGCTCCATTGAGTACGACGAGGCTTTTTGCATGGAGGTTCATTAGAAGTAACGAGTTGACACAAGGTAAATCTTAATGTTGAGGCGCCTTTCTCTACCGGCCCGGGGAGGAGCCCTCATTAACTGTCGCTAACAACCCGTGTAAATACACTGATTGGACAGCTCCGATACAAGCTCCCAGCCCTGCCAGGAAGTCCCCCTAATGAGACCACACAATAAAAACAATAAAAGAAAGGAGGGAGGGAAAGGGGAGAGAGAGAGAGAGAGAGCGAGAGAGAGAGACAGAGAGAGAGAGAGATGTTAAAAACTTTTGTACAAGCTTTGCTGTTAAAGTTGGCGCCACATTTACAGATCATTGTGACAACAATTGCACAAAAACCTGCATATTCAATCGTCGCGTTTTTCTGTTTCCTTAATTCCAAATGAAGACGATGTTGTGTTTAGTACAGCTTCCATAAACAGAGGGCTGACCTATTGCACCTGCAGTTAGAATTTAGCAACTGTTTACCCTTGAAAGCTGCTGCAACCGACTCGATGGTTTTGGCACCGGAGGTCAAGTAAATCATACGCAAAATGGCATGCGTAATTTTTAGTTTGGACTGGGTTTAAAGACAAAAACTGAATAAAATTGTTATAGTAGCTGGGTGTAGGCTTTATGTGGGAGTAGGGGAGAATGCACTGCAAAAAATATCATAACATTCCCGTCTTGATTTTATCATATTTTTCTTAATGCTCTGAAAATCTGCCAATTTTTACGCATAAAGTTACAATTTTACGCACAGCATTTCTTCCCCCCAGAAACAAACGATAGCCTTTTAGAGCCAAACAGTATATGTCTAGCCTAAAATATCTCCATTACAATTAAGAAAATGATGCTGATTCTTAAACGGTATTTAAAAAGTTGACATGTAAACACATAAAATAATCACAATCCGGTTACCAGGATTTGCGCACTTGCAAAACAAATGACGGATACATTTTGGAAACAGAAACACTTATTTAAAAAGAAGAAAAAACCCGCTGCTACAATAAGCGACTTTTTTAGATTGATACTTTTTACAGTGTAGACACAGTGTCGAGTCTCCGTACCCTGGAATGGCCAGCATGGGACGGAGGGGATTGTGCGCCCCAACCCGACAGCATCACACATCTGCGCTGCAAAGGCGCAGATCCTCCCCGATGCTCGGTGATCAGAAATGACAAAAATACCACATTAAAAAACGAGACGCTTCCCCGTTCAAACTAAAAGGCCTGAATAATAGTAGTTCTGAATAATTTGATAAACATTTGAATGAATAAATATCTACAAAAATATAAACAAAACAAAACAAAAAAATAGTCGCAGTTTACGGAACATTATTGACACAACCGTAGACGGAAACGAGTCTGCTTACAGGTGAGGGAACTTACAGGAGCCGCAGTTGAATTTCCATCACGATATCGGACACATTGAGCAGTGAAATAGCAGTGAACCGGTGCCACCTCCAGTTGCAAATGGTGACAGTCCGTGGAGTGGTCACAGCTCTGCAGGGAACCAAGAGAGCAAGCAGAAAACAAAAAAACAAGAAAAGAAAAATATATATTTTCTCGGTGATACAAAAAATGCCAGAGTCGACTTCCTACATTATTAAAACGACATTTGAAAAATCTCTTAACAGAAAAATAGCAACTATAGATTCTCGTGCGCTCAAAAATAAATTCTATGAAAAAATACTAAGGTGTTTTTCTTTGTTTGTTTTTTTGTTTTTTATTGGTACGTACCCATCATTTCTCCAAAGTCTCGTCCTGTGTATTGTTGAGATGAATCCAGGATGGAGCAGCAGGCGCAGAGTCTCTCCTGTGTTTGCAAGGGAGGGGTGTGCTGCCTTTTCTGGCCAGCCTCTGCCAAACCGGGGTCAACGAGGGAGCAAAAAATAAAACAAGACCCTTTCTTTCGTGCCTTCTTTCTCTTTCCCTCTTACCTTTTACAGTCAACACCTTTTCCTTTCTTTCTCTCATCCGGTCCCCTTCTCTCTCTCTCTCACTCCCGTACATGACGTAACATCAGCTTTGTTTATTTGCTCCCCTTATTGGAACAGACTCTTAATGAAAATAAGTTACTTACTGGCATTTAATCAGCGTGGTGACTCACGCTTTAGATTCAATCCGTGCCACTAGAAGATGTAATGGAATCAAATAATATATTAGCCTGCTTCTTTAACAACAATACTAATAACTTTATTCATCCAAAAGTTTTCTAAAACAAAGTTTAACAACAGCAATAAAGTGCCTCAGGAGGAGAGATGTGGCTGCAGAGTAGATCTGGCTGTCTGTGCCTGCTTGACCAACACATTCCCAGCGTTTCAGCGTGCAAACTGCTGTTTGTGTTGTCGTGTCTGGAGGTTTAGGCTGTAAATAAACGGACAAGACGCTAAATGCTCGATGCGCATTCAGAGCTCTCGTCCCCCGCTGCTAGGAACATTCAGCAAGCTCCCGGATAAACACACAATTACGGCAGGTGAATAAACTTGTTTGGGGGGTGTTAATTACATGCTTAACGTAAACAAAAGCCATGTAAAAGAATGTGAATTACCAGTGGCTTTCCTCCCTCAATCCCCATTCAGGTTTTACATTTCACCTCTAGTCTCTTCTAGGAGTGATTTCCGAATTGCCTGCGAGGGCTACTCCCAAACAAGGCTCCTCCAAAACATAATGCTGGTTAATACCTGCAGCCTTGGCTTGAATGGTGATCACCTAAATTGGTGCACCAGGAACCCAGTCAGGTAGGAGGCTTTGCATATTCGGAGTAGTTGCTGCTAAGCCTGCACTCTCAACTTAATGTTGGGGTCGTGCATGCATGCATGCATGCATGTGTGTGTGAGAGAGAGAACCAGGGAGGGAGAGAGAGCGGGGAGAGGGGGTATAGGCTAGGAGGTTAGTTTTAACACCAGCATGAAAATACCAGCCTTTACTTCCAGTCCACAGAGCTTTCCAATGGGACCAATTCAAGTGCCACTTGGAATTACTCCTCCTGAGGTTCGTGCAGCAGCGCAGTGGACAGGTTTGATCCCATGTACCACCCTACCCCCCTCGCACAAACAGGCGCGCACATCCCCAAAACCAAAACGTCTGACCCTGCAAGATCACCACAACCCCACAACTCTGCATCACACACACCTCACACAGACACTTGCACAGCACGCGTGCGCGCACCTACACACAAAGTTGCTCGCCCCAAAACGCCGATGCGTAAAGGTGCGCAAAATATTCGCAGGGATAATTACGCACAGGCATCCATAAAGTATGTCAGCTGAGGTCAAACGGTGAATAGAAACAGGTAGCACTGACTGCACATGCATGTGGTTTACTCACTGTCCCTCCAAGCTTGAGGTCGGTGGTCTATCTGGTCAGCCCCGGAGAATGTGCAAATCGGAGAGAGGGAAGGAAAAGTTTTGAATTCCTGAATGATTTTGTAGAAAGGCGGCTTAGGATCATTATGTCAGCTTTATTGAGGGCGGATTAAGCGGAGTCTAGATGCTACGCCTTGTACACGGCTCTTTCACAATGTGAGCACTGTTCGTGTTAGAGTGAACTCACACTATTTTAACACCCTGTAAGCCCTGTCTAAATATGAAGCCGTTTTAGCCATAAACATGAAAATCACACCGCCGTGGCTACCGCTATAAGCCGAATCCTGTGACTGGATGTGGACATTGATCATGTCCTTACCACTAGATCAAATACATGAAAACTGCTTTTATGTCCCCAAGAAGCTTTCATGTTGCCATTTGATTGTAATTCCAATACTAATGGTTTTAATTAGAGGGCCGGACTATGGAGGAAAAAAAAAAAATAAAGAGCTAAAAGGGCGCTGGCAAATTAGTTCTACAATGCCGTGATCTGTGTTTAATCAACACAACGCTGCGCATCGATATTGATTTTGAACAATAAATTTTGTTGGTTGGAGAGAAAGGCAGCGGGCAGGGGGCCAGGGCTGCACCCAGCGTCCCGGAGGCAGGGGCCGGGGACAGCAGGAGGGGGAGCGGCATCACACTGCAGCAGACACCCGGACCAGCAACACAAAGTGACCACACACACCAGCGAGCCCGAGTGGAGTCAAGCTCAGATCATGTCATAAAAATTGCATTTTTTTCCCCCCTTTTTTCTGAAATAAAATCACCGACGGATCCGGGGCAGAAGCCAAACGACTACAGGACTGTGTCTGATATTTTAGAAAACAAGAAAGCGGTAACATGAAAAAAAAAAAATCTAGCAAGACTGTAACGCACTGCTTTCCCTCGCACAAGAGAAAAAAAAATGAATGGGCTGATGGAAAGATAAAAAAGTAGCTACTACAGGAAAAACTATGCGAAAATAATGTGCAAATTGACTCGCTTCTATTCAAAACGTGTATTCCCGAGTTGCAGTCATTGGTTGTCCATTTGTCACCCATTTAAAGCTCCCTCTGCCTCCCTCCCTCCCCGCCCGTCTCTGCTAAGCATCTCCAGTCTACATATCTTCTTTAGCTTTAACGAGCCTCGTTAAGATCGCAATAATATTCCACCCTCTAATTGCTCATTCCATTCAGCAGATAGGCGAGCATTGGCTTGTGCCTGATGCGCGCGGTGCGGTGGGAGGGTTGCTGTGGAGATCGGAGACTCTGATAACCCCCCGTGCGTGCTGCACAAGTGGTGAAAGCCTCGCGCTACGTACTGGCTAATGATTGGCACGCTTGACAGTGATTGGCAGGGCTGCCATGACAACGCTACAACGACACCAAGAAGACCAATAGAAAAGGGAAACAAAATGTTTCAATGCTACACTCAACGGCGGATTTAGGGGGGAGATATTATGAGGCTGGTGTCATTAGGCGATAGCCATTGAATCATTCAATCTTTTTTACTTGCCGTATTTTTCGGTTTTTCCTTTTTCTCGATAATTTTCTTTCTCTCTCGGGTCATTTCCATGGTTTTCAGATCCCCTTTAGAGCTTTATCCCTCCCATTTCTTCCTGCCAAACTTCGCTGATCGCCCTCTGCTCCTGGCGAACAGCGCTCCCACCACCAGGTCTCCAGAAGACTTGTCCATGTTTCAGCTACCGACCCTCAACTTCTCCCCGGAGCAGGTGGCAAGCGTCTGCGAGACGCTGGAGGAGACCGGGGACATCGAACGGCTGGGCCGCTTCCTCTGGTCCCTGCCGGTGGCTCCGGGAGCGTGCGAGGCGATCAACAAGCACGAGTCCATCCTGCGCGCCCGGGCCGTGGTGGCGTTCCACACGGGGAATTTCAGAGACCTCTACCACATCCTGGAGAACCACAAGTTCACCAAGGACTCGCACGGCAAACTGCAGGCCATGTGGCTGGAAGCGCACTACCAGGAGGCCGAGAAGCTCCGCGGTCGTCCCCTCGGACCGGTTGATAAGTACCGGGTGCGGAAGAAGTTTCCGCTGCCTCGGACCATCTGGGACGGCGAGCAGAAGACGCACTGTTTCAAAGAGCGGACACGAAGCCTGCTGAGGGAGTGGTACCTTCAGGACCCGTATCCAAACCCCAGCAAGAAAAGGGAACTGGCTCAAGCCACAGGACTCACTCCTACACAGGTCGGAAACTGGTTTAAAAACCGGAGGCAACGAGACAGAGCCGCGGCAGCCAAAAACAGGTTGGTCATTTCTTTTCTTCTCCTCCTTCTTTTTTTATTTTTAAACACGCTGTCAAAACACAAGAATGCACCGAAGTTTGTCTAAAACGCACAAATTCAAAAGAAAAGACGGAATTTCTTTAAACACGCGGCTGTGATTACGCGCAGAGACTGTCGAGGAAAAAGGACAAGTGTGTCTGTCAGGTGGAGGGAGGAGGCTGCGGCGACATTTTTGTTTTGAAGTGAAATCCGAATAAACAGCGAAAACACTTCTGGTGCTGCTGGAAATATCCACAACTTTCCTAAATATGTGAAACACTTTGATTTTTATTTAGACGAGCATTAAAAACATTTATGGCAGATGAATCATTTCGAGTTATTTTGGACAGAATACGGGATTATCTATTTTTAAAAACACTAATAATGTTAAAACGCATCTCTTTTATTACAAAAAAAAACTCTAGATAATAAAACAATATAATAAGAAACTAGATTTGCTGTTGAACTGAAGAAGCGATTTTTACGCAGCGTTGAGTTTAAACTGAAACATCTTGTTTGTGTTTCCCGTAAACGTCAAAGTATTACAATAAATGCTTAAAAAGAAGAGTGATGAAATTATAAATATGCACATCAGCTGCTGGACTTCACTTATTTGCAGAATAAAAACTATTTTTTATGACAACAAAGTAAACAAGCTAATGGATTATTTTTATTCAGTATAAAACAAACAGCCCTGGATGAGTCTAAATGTATTTAATGAAGAGCTAAATTGCTTTATTTAAACCTTTAAATACATTTGGAATTGTCATATTTTGTTGCAAATAATTAGAAATATTTTTCTGATTGTTGCTGAAGCTGTGTGATGATTTATTCAAGTTGCACTTTTTTACATTTATCATGTCCTGTGGTGCCTTCTCTGGTTTGGACACCAAATGTTACTCGTTGGAAATAAAGATTATGTCAAAGGATAATACAGATATTACTGATATTGCTGGACTAACACGAGCATGCGTATTAAAACAAATAAAAACCAGCCAAGCATCTGAGAGCAGACATAGGCTGTATTCATAACATTAAGTGTAGTATCATTCCAGTGAAATGCTATAATTGATTAGAAAATACCTCGCAGAGGACTAAGCCATATGAACAGTATTCTAATCTTTATTGCTAAATGAAGAGATATATTTCCACGCTGACATTATCCCGCCGTGATGGAGTTATTATCATGAGTGGATTGGAGATCAACATTTAGGATGATTGGAGTAACCTGGATGTCATTCATTCATTCATACGCTGAAATACATGTGTGCCAAAGCCTCTCCACAGTTTGCGTAAAAAGCGTAAAATGTTCTGTTTTTATTTTTGTAGGAAATAACAGAGTAGTGTTGTGGTTGTGAGCGTGCAGAGACACGGAGCTGCACATGAATAAAACTGTGCAGAATTAAGCAAAAATAAAAAATAAATCCTAGCTAGTGCGCAGAGTAAGAAACAAACACAGACACAGCGTGGCTTTTGGATTTAAAGCTGTTTCATAAAAACATCTGATATGACAGGTCGTGTCTGTCCCAGGCTGCTGACTCGCGCGCTCGTCAGGCCTACTTTTGCAACAAAAAACTAAATCAAAACAACGAGAGAAACTCCATCACATTTCTCCCAACATTTGGTAGTCTAAATAGTGCTGTGTTTTGTCCCCTGAAAGCTGGCTGGTTTGATAAAAGCATGCATGCATGGCTGGGGCCGGCAGGGGGAAAGAAAAGGCGAGTTTGAACCCCTATTTTGCAGGAGGAGGAGGAGGGGAAGAGGGGACATTCTCAGGTCTAATTGCCATTTCTCTCCATTTTTTCCCCCTTCTCTCTCTCTCTCTCTTCGTTTTTTTTTTTTCCTCTTTCCTCTCTCCTATTCCTCCTCCTCCCCTCCTCTCCTCGCTTCTTTTCTTCTTCCAGGCTCCAGCACCAAGCAATAGGACCCACCGGTATGAGGTCCCTCTCGGAGGCCGGTCTCACCCCTCACAGCTCGGCGGAGTCGCCTTCGACCGCGGCCAGTCCCACCACCAGCGTTTCCAGTATGACAGAGAGAGTTGATACTGGGACGTCCATCCTGTCCGTCACATCCAGTGACTCGGAGTGCGATGTATGATACGGAGATGGGGAGAGGGGGGAAAGAAAAAAGAAAAACCCCGAGAAAAAACAACCACAAAAACAAACAAAAAGAGAAATATTTACAGGGAAAATGGACCTGAGAGGAAGAAAAAAAAAAGACTTATGAAATATCGCGGATGAAAAAAGGACCGATTGATATAAATATTAAAATAAAAGAGATAAAAGCACGTCGTTTTTTTTTTTTTTTTTTTATTAAAAAGCGCTTTCAAAGGACCCACGCCTCCCCCTCCTCTTCATACCCCCACACC